CAGGGGATCAGTGTCCATGGCAGGTAAAGCATACGCGTCCGTCAATGTAGTAAGGCCCGAGGCATTAGGAGGGTAAGGCCGAGTCAGGGGCTCCGAAGGTATCGTGTCATATCCTTCCTTGTCGCTGCCCTCCCGGACCTCCCCCTCCTTTCCCTTGGTCTTGCCTCCTCCCGTGTCCGCCACGATGCTGCGGAAAATCCGGTTGATGGCAAGCACCGCCGCTTCCTTCGTCAAGCTGGCTAGATCGGCCCCGACATATCCCGGTGTCCTCCGCGCAATTTCTCCCAAATCAAAGTCCCCGCTCAGCCGCATTTTCTTAGTCATCACCTCCAAAATCCTCCGTCGGGCCTCTAAATCTGGCACTCCGAGGGAAATCTCCCGGTCGAACCGGCCCGCCCGCCGCAAAGCCGCGTCGAGGGCATCCGGGCGGTTCGTGGCGCCAATGACCAAGACGGGTTTGCCCCCCGTCTCCTCCAGGGAAAGGGCATCCATGCACGTCAAAAGCTGGGCCACAATCCGACGTTCCATGCCCCGGGACGCCGTCTCCCTCTTGGGGGTGATCGCGTCCACTTCGTCGATAAAGACCAGGGCCGGCGCGGCCTGACGGGCCGTCGCGAAGAGCTCCCGGATTTTTTGCTCGGATTCTCCCGACATCCCACTCACCACCTCGGGCGCCGACACCTTCAAAAACGCCACGCCCAGCTCCCCTGCCACGGCGTTCGCCAACAAGGTTTTCCCACACCCCGGCGGCCCGTGCAGAAGGATCCCACGGGGAGGTTCAACCCCAAGATACGCGTATACCTCCGGGTATTTGAGGGGGTACTCGATCAGCTCCCGCACATCTTGCAGGACGGCGTCGATGCCAGCCAGGTCGGTGAAGCGGGCGGTGGGACGTTCCACGGGCAGGAGGGGAGGCGGGGACGAAGAGGAGAAAGCTGCGTCCTCCCCGGGGGGCAGAGAGGGGGGAGGAGAGGAGGGAAGGCGGGGGGAAGCACGACGTCGCTTTGACTTCCGTCGCATGAGTTTCCCGTTCGATTCTGTCTCTCCATTTGGCAACGAATGTCCTCCTTCTTTCCCGCCACCTTGAGAGTCTTGCTGTTTCTCCGCCGCATGTGGCTGACGCTCTCTCTCCAAGTGCCGGGGCCCCGCCCCCATTCCCTCCCCCGTGTCCCTTGTCGGGGCAACGGCGGCCTTCCTATACGCCTGGCTCAAGGTATGGTTCAAAAGGTTCAGGCTTCGACTCTCGGCCATCCCCTGTAACCCTTTCTCCCGTTCGCGCGCCTCCTGCTCATACGCGGCGTCCGAATCCTCCTCCTCTTCTCCTCTGACGGCACGGGTCTCGTCTTCCCCTTCCTCCTTCATCTTTTCTTTCGATGCGCTTTTTCCTGGGTTTCCCTCTTCTTGATAATAAAGGCCCCCGTACAAGCTCACACAGTCCGTTCCCTGTCGTTGTGGCCTCTCTGCGCCCCTGCCCCTCCCCCTCTCGCAGCTATCGCTATTTCGACCTCGCTTCTTGACACCTCCTCCTTGGTTTTCCCCGCAAAGCGCCTGATTGCCGGGCGTTTCATCTTTTTCAGAGCGTTCCAAGCACCAATGCAGTGCCCGGGCCACTTGTTTATGCAAGGTGGCTTTCGGCTTCCGGTCATACTCACGGTGGTCAACTACCAGTCGTTCCATGATACTTTCTTCCGAGGGAGGACGGCTATCGGGACAAAGGTTGGAAGTCGGAAGATTGAGTTAAGGTGAGGTGACGTGTGAAAAAAGGTTTAAATGCTGGTCATGATTCTGGAAGGACAGGGAGGTTTAATATGATAGGGAAGATCAACCATGAAGGACTTACTTATCCGACCCCCGTTCCAAAAGCAGGTTTTTGATGTAATAAATGAGCTTCGGATCCCGAGCCATTGCTATTTTTATAATGAAAATTTGTTCGTCATTTAGTATTTTTTGAATGAGAGCTTAGAAAACAGTTGGTTAGGGTCCAGAGCATTGCGAGGCCACGGTATCCTCGACCCCATAAGCCACAAGAGATAGGGCCTTCCGGGCCCGTTATGGTGACTTATGATCTTTGTCACATTTATTCATATATATTTCGTAAAAAAACATAATGTACATGCGTGGGAGGCGCGGAAGCTTGAGACGGGCAGGATTAAAAAGTCCGTGTGGGCCGTTCATTGGCAATGAAACGGAAGGCGAGACCCGCGGTACTGCTCCCACGAATGGAATGCGAATGAATGACTCTGACATTGACGCCAACACCCTGTCTCATACAGACCTTCCTTCTGTTTTGACGACAAAATAAGCTGCATGTTGTGTCACATAATATAAAGTCAAGATAAAGGTGTGTGTAATGTCAACAGCACAATCAACCTCCCCACCCCACCCCATACACAGGAGCGACGATACCATACGCCATGATTTCTTTTTTTACAAAACTAAAACGCGAATTCTCAACTTCTGCAACCCATTTATCCCTTCTTCCTCTTCTTTTTGCCACCCTTCCCTCCTCCTGCGCCAATGGGAGGCACGTATGCATCACCAAATTCGCTCGTTCCCTTAGCACCCGTCAACTCAGCAACCACCTCCTTCCAATCCGGTTGGCCCACGCCCCTCCGGATGATACTGCCGTCTTTCCGCATCACAATCCCGATCCCAGTGTTTCGGGCTTTCTCATTCCCTTGCCGCACGGCGTCCTCGAGCTCTTCATCGATGTAGGTAGCCCAGGAAGCAGAATCCGCGGGTTTTGCCACGTAGGCCTCCGAGTCAATCATGGCCTCTTTCATACCCGTGGCTTTGTCCGACATCCCCCCGAAGCCTTTCACACCGATGGCTTCCTCCCCCGTCTTGTCGTTTCCGCCCTGGATGACAAAGGGTGCGATCATGACGTTGTTTTTGGCAAACAGTGTCTTCCCAACGCGGGCGCCAAAGAGGGCGTCAGCCAGCTCTCCTTTGGGGGCAGCCAAAACGATCAAATGCTGCCCTCCCTTCTCCCTCAGGTCCTTCACCGACGCACTCCTAGTTTCGTTCAGCCCCACCTTGAAGGTGACGGGCAGACCGCTCAAGGCCCGTTCGCGCGCTTTTTTCATGTCGAAAGTGAGGCGAAAGGGCTCCTTGGCCCGCAAGGCTTGCATTTCCTTGTCCGTCACTTGCTTCAGGCGATTCTCGAACACCCAGGCCCCGGCCGCGGCGGCCGCGACCCCAAAATCCACCCCGACGTTGAGGATGGACTGAGAGAGAGGCAAGGCGTCCGGGCGATGTTGCAAAGATTGGACCAACTGCGTCACCGCCGTGTAGCCCCCCAGGCTGGCACCGACGCCGATGCCACCGTAAATGAACAGGCGAAGGGACCGGAAGGGGGTGGTGGCCTCACTACGAAGCTTGTCATACATGGTGGGCGAGAGCCCTGTTACGGCTGTGTTTTCTTCCTCTGCTTCCATTTCTTCCTCTTCAAAGCTAGTCTCGTCAGTCGAAGTAGCGAAGGGGGGGGGG